AAATATAAGAAATAGAATAAGTATTAAGATATAATATATATAAATTTTATAATTTTTGACTATATAGTTAATGATTTAAAAATTGTTAAAGTTAAAATTTATAGTAAAAACATAGTAAGTGGACTCAAACTTTTGGAAGCAACTGTATAGTATTTCCTGACTTTTGATCCTATCGAAATAAAGAGCTATGAATTTTGTCTCTCAAAAAGAAACATAAATAATCTATAAAATTTTATATGCTAAATACCTTGGAGACCCATCATTAGTCAAATGACATAATTTTAACTAATGAGACCAATATTTCTAAATAAAAAATAATAGAAAAAAAAATATATATATAAGAAATAATTAAAAAAAAAAAACTGATCTTTTTGAATATAAATAATAGAACTTATAAAAAAGAAAAAATATACAGTATCTAAAACTTATCAAAATCAAAACATATGTCCTTGATCCTTATAATAAAAAAAGTAGATGCTTTAGTCAAAAAAAGCCTTAAAGTTTTCATTAATAAAATAGAAAAATCTTAGTTTACACAAGATTAACATAAAAATTAATGACAAAATAAGATCTTAAATAATTCAATTAAATGATTTATCAAAAAAATGTGAACAATAAAATAATAGTCTAATAATAGATATAATAAAATAGAATAGAAAAAATAGAGTCATCAAATTTTAAAGCATCAAGTTCATATATAAAATCTAGTATGGAAAAGAATAAAAGATAAATATATATAAGACATGTTCTTTAAAAAGTTTTAACAAAAAAGCTTTTTATTAAACTGATTAATAATAAGTTATCAATATTAAGTAAATTAATTATAAAAAGATCTGATCTCTATAAGTAAGTAAAATATATTATATTATTCAATAGAATAAAACAATAGAATACTTGCTAGAATATTTAATTTATAAGAACTAATTATAAGTAACATAAAGTAAAAAAATGAATAAAATACTCAAGAACAATAGAAAGTTTCTACAAAAAAAAAAAAAAGCCGAAAAAAAAATATTAAATAGATTATAAATGATTAAAAAGATTTAAAAGAACTTGACAAATGAATCTTTAGACTAATAGAATAGATCTTTAAAACTAATTAAGATATCTTAAGTTTTTTTGCACTAATTTTATAAGAATTATTTTATTCAGAAAATGATAAATCTAAAATATTATGAAAAATATATAAGAAAAATAAGATACAAAAAAGAATTTGTAATTAAATTTATTAAAAAATTTGAAACAAGAAATGTAAAAAGATAATTGAATGAACACAATTATGAGGATTTATAAAAAAAACAAAACAACCTGTGCATCAATAGCACAGTGGATGTGTTCCCAGGTCACTATTCACAAGTTACTAGTTCAATCTCATTTTAGAACAGTATTTGCATTATAAGTTACGTGTTACAAGAATACATGCTAATTAGCCATATGCATACTTGAACATAAACAATCTATAGAAACCCACCATCTGACCAAGTGTCATAAATCAGATCACACAGGTCCTAGTCAGTTTTAGTACTAGGAAACAAGTCACGATATCTTGCCACTTAGAATATGCATAGACACCAAGAATACCAAGAAAGATAATAAGAAAACTCAGGAACCTATTAATCTTATATGGAATCTACCTCTTTTCAAAAATTCTAATCTTATGAGAGGTCTGGGAGACTTTGGTCACATGTATCAGCCACAAACGTAAGGACTGGATACATACTGGGAGATCTTTGATCACTATTACCAATGATTACCAGAGATTGGATCTCATGGGTTGTCAATGAGGAATAATAAAGTTGAATAGTCATGATGGAGAAATATAGGTGTAGATCCTGGGAGAAGAAATTTGAAAACAATCATCAAGATAACCAATCCAATAGGAGGAGCAATCCACTATGAAGTAATTAAAAGACACTCTTGGAAAAATCATATTTAACTAGTGATTAAAAATAGTTACTGGAAGACTACGGTCGTCAATCTAACTCACCAATAGTTACCGGGAGCTTGATGGAACTGCATGATAACTGAAGAATATTAATAGACAACTAACTTTCTGAGAACTAAGCATGGTAAAAAGAATGTCAATTATGGAACACACATCTTACAAGGTATAACAAAATCCATGAATCAAATAATTCCAACAAATAGCTTCCTGAATATAAAAGAAGTCTCCTAGTGAATCTTTGGAATATCAGAAGTGTCCGGGAATAATAGGACAGCTGACAAGATGGTATCCATATCAGGTAAAATCTAAGGGTAAGTTGAATAGATCAGGATAGTACAAATTAGATGTAAGAATTGCTCTTGTAAAATAATTCTATATAATTCCTAAATAACTGATTAATAAAGCCCAGTCAGTATGACTATTAAAAAAAAAAAAAAAAAAAAAAAAAAAAAGAACAAGACAAAAAAATCTTTATATCTTCTAAATTAGAAAAAAATATTGTTATAAAAAAAAAAGCTACTATCAAAAGAAGAAAAACTAGAAGATAAAAGTCTCAAAGAAATCTTAACTAAAAGAGTGATATATGAAATAATGTAATTGGGATTTGAATCTTATCAAAACCTTCAAGAGAGATTTGTAGTGATAACCTGCAGGCAATAAAGTTAGTAGTTGAAAGAGTCTTTTACTTGAACTACTAATGGAGCATAAATCACTTCTAAAGTTGTACTTAAAGTTTGATAAATTTCAAAACAGAGTAAGTTAGATAGAGATTTAACTTTAGTGATACATTTTATAATGTAAAGTATACAAAACATTTAATAAAGCACAAATACCTAGCCTGACAAAGGGTATAAAAAAAAAATAAATAAAAATTAAAAATCAAGTTTAAAATTTTTCTAGTGTACATAAAACTATAATTAAAATTCCATAATTTTATTAAAGATTCTATAGAAATGAATAAGTTAATTATGGATATAAAAAATATTGTGATTCTTAATAAGGTCCCTAAACTCAGACTTGCATAGATGTCGCACTTATAGTATGCTGGAGAATCAAATAGAATAAAATTGATTCGTTAGGATCCTTAAGTATACCGTATATTAAATCCATATTACTCAAAAATAAAATAAAGGTTTATAAAATATCAGAATGTCGTATTTAGAATTATTGATGACTACGTTATTTACAGAATCTTAGTGTACCATTATATTAATATAACTCTGAAATACGTATTTTTTATCACGTGTATGTAAGAATATTATATTACTTTGATATAGTAATTTTTGCAAAAATTAAGTCTTTAATATAGATTGTATTCAACCTGGCATGTTATATTAGACATGACAGAGTTTGAAGTTGCAAAATGGAACCAAGTAGTGAAAAAAAAACAAATTTCTAAAAAAAAAAAAAAAAAAAATTCAATCAAACAGAAATGAACTATTTGGTGGCGGGTAAAAAAGATAGTTAATGGATGAGCACTGAAGATCGTTATTTGCAAGCAGACAAGTTCAATAAAGGTTTTTGACTTACCAGATTCCACACCCCTTTAGCAAATTGCACAATCTCATTAGCACCCATTTTACTTTCACCATATACCCTATCAACAAATGTGATAGGAACTTCACCAATGCTATAACCGAATTGCCTCGCGCGAACCATCATCTCCATTTGAAACACATAACCCTTAGAGATGACCACCGACATTATTCTCTCGAGTACTTCCTTTTTATAGAGTCTGAGAATGAATAATTCATAATTTAATTTATAAGCACGAGAGGTAAATATTTAATTACGCATTGTGATGCTTACCTGAAACTGCCGGTAAGATCAGACACACCGGGACGAAGCAAGGTCGAAGCGAGAAAATTCGCACCGCGGCTTTAACGAAGGAAAAGTAAGAATCGGAAATATCAATGACAAATCAATGTCCATCACAATCACAATTCGTACCTTATCACTTTGCGTTTGAGATTCCATCCATATACACCGCCATTACCCGCGTACCGCGTTCCGGTTACAATATCATAATTTTTGGTTTTTTGAAGTCTAGTCACAAATACGCGGGAGGATAAGTTACTTGAGCATCATTGAAATTAAATTTGATGGATGTTAATGAGGTTGATAATCTCACTTGATAAATTCCGGAATAAATTTTGGCTGCAAAAAGAATTAAAGACGGTGAATGAATAATGTTTGTCGGTTCTCGCTCGCAAAAAGACTTACGTGATGCGAAAAGTCGGCATCCATTATGATAACAAAATTCCCGGTGACAAATTGTAAGCCGTGCACATACGCTGTGCCTAGGCCGAGTTTACCAGCTCGTGGTTTCAACACCTTCGAAAAAAGTGCGCGTGAGATTGGTAAGTCAAGGTTCGATGATATGAGAATGAAAGTTATACTTACAATACGATCAGAGCCATAAACAGAAATAAGTTGCTTTGCAATTTCTTGAGTTCCGTCTGGTGAATTATCATCGACAACTATAATTTCCCAATCGATATCACTGAAAACAGGTTAGTACAGGTGAGATTGGGTAAAGTTGGCGATTCTCGTTGAGACATACTGTTCTTTAAAAGTTTTTGCCAGGAGCCAAACAATTATTGGCAGATTTCCGCGTTCATTATATGTCGGAAGAATCACGCTGTATCTATCCTCACCATCATATGAAGCTACTCTGACCGACGAAGAGTCCATGTCGCAAGGCGTGAGGTGAAAGTCTACGTCTCATTGTGGAAACACATTTCTTTCACGTGATATATCATTCCATGCGTGTGCCTTTACACAAGTTGCTTAATTTAGTCCAGAAAAACTTGTTTCCCACGAAATACTTTCACAATGTCCTTCCCCGTAACGAACAAACATGAAGAATATGCCACATATAATATTCGATATCTGCGTATATCGGAGAGGAAGGTTTTACCTTTGATACTTTATGTCAGGCCAGAAAATACAGGATGGTTCAACGAAGTTTTATTTCAAGTAAGAACTCGCGGTCAGGTAAAAACGATATCAAGATCAACTCATACGTGTCACTGCTTCGTAGGAAGTTCTAGCGGCCTTGCAGAAAGTTATACCTAAAAATTTGTCGAAAGAGAGGAAAAAGAAAACGAGTGATAAAAATGTGTATCGTGGAAGTATGTTTGCATGCCATTAAATCCGAGAGTTTGCGGATAACACATTAATCGACTCGAATTCTTTCTTTTTGCCGGTCGAAATAGCCAATCTTCAAATGGCTTACTACTTCAAACCTACCGAGACAAGGCATTCGATTTTACTGAAGGTGTCCTCCTCTCGGCTATTTCTCGGGCGTGTCATCTCCGACAAGTTTTCTAATTTCGATTCTCACAATTCCACTTTGATCGCAGGATAAAAATTATGTTTTCTCCTCTGAAGAATCACCGGATGGTGATGAAGACGAAGACGAGGAGGAAAAGAAACCTGTTTTAAATATCACATATCAGGGGTTCAGCATATTTCGAAAAACCTTGGTGATCATAGTCGAACCATTAGAAGGGATCATCGAGTTCGGTAGCAATGTCAAGGTTGCGTCCTCGATGTCTATCGACGACTACATGGGTCAACAAGATTATTCCTCTGATGTCGACCGATCCGACGATCGGTCGACTGACCAAACCATTACCATTGATTAATAACCAAAATGGATATTCCCTCGATGTTAGATGCATCTTTAAGATTTAAAGGCACGATAACTTTGATTCTTAAAATCTCGTGTAAGTATACGCTGCACTGAAAATCATATTCTAAAAGAATACAAGAAAATGGTGATGTAAAATGAGCTTCAAAATCTGCAACATGCACAATAAAAAAATTTCTTGAACATTTCTTGAATGATCTGCTATGTGGCTAATTGACCGCTGGTTGCTCGGATGTGATAATGACTAACTTTGGACGATCCACCTTTGTGTTGAAAAAATATGATGGGCTTTTGGTTTCCTATCTTCGCGGACGCCCACCTTCTTCATGCATGGCGATCTTGGATATTAATGACGTGTTGTTGCAATTTGCACATGGGCTGCCATCCTCTATGTGGAAACCAACCTCCACCTCTTTTACCTTTTCAGTCCACAAACAAAACCTGAACAACGGCGACCTCAGATCCGGGAATCATAGAAATCAGCCACCATCGTTACTTTAAATACTCCGATGCTTTTTTTATTTACAGTATACTGAATTTCCCGAGTCTAGAATTTTTTTTTTTTCTTTTCTTGATATGATTTAAAAAAAAAAAAAAAAAAACCCCTTTCTCTAAAAGAACCAGGTATGTCTAGTGTAAACTGTGTAAACTCAGGAGAACGTCTTGACGAAACTTCCAGAAATGCTGCGCATGCCTCCCTTATTAAGCGTGACTCTGAAATTGAATGCGTGCTATCACAGACCCACGAGGTCAACAGCCCAGGGTCGACAATGCGACAGTCGTCCCCATCTACACATGTTGAAGCGACTTCGACACAACCATCACAACAGCCACCTGCATCACCCATGCCCCTTCCGGATGTTGTCGACGAAAAGGAGGAAGAGAACTGTTTTCACCAAGCCTACGTTTCAAAAACGATGGATGAAATGAAGCTTCGCGAGAACCTATTTAAAACCTTGGGTGAAGCCTTTGAGCAGAACGTAATAATGGACGAAAGCGTAATAGGTAACACATAATGCTTGGACGCGTAGCGGACACGCTTGTACGCGAAAGTCGTGCGTGCACTCAATCCAGAAATAAAAAAAAATTTTTTTTTTTTTTCTCCTTTAGAACTTCTCACGGAAAGGATTCAATCACTGTGGGAACCTTCTTACACTGATTCAGTGTGCAATTCGGAAAGGGATCATCATTACATTACCCTGAAAAATTATATTAAATATGTGATAGCACGAATTCGATATAAATTGGACGATGAAGAAGACGAAATTGAGGGTCGCGAGAATAGCGGGATTTCCGAATGGGCGTGGACAAATTGGTCCGGCTTAAAGTTAGTCCTCGCCATGGTGTACATTGAACGATTAAGGAAGGTATATAATTAAATTTTCACCTTTCTGTCGCGTGAATTTCGGATTCGATGACGTCACGTGTGGGAAAGAATATTGCCTTAGTGATAACTTTTAACCGCAACTTATACACTCTTCTCGTAAATCAATTTAGGCGAATCCATGCTTTCACGGCGAACAAGGGTGTTCGCATCGCGTCTTTTTCATCGCATTTGTTATTGCGTCCAAGTACGTGGACGCAAGTTTCTCCAAGAGCTGTTCCGAAGGATTAGACGATGATTCATCGGAAGAATCATATATAGATTCAGACGAGGAATTGGATTATGAATCGGGGGGAGGACAATGGACAGAACAAATTTTTGATATTGAACAATACGGGACTCGGAGAGATTCAACAGAAGAGGAACGAAGGAATGATGACGGGTGGCGCGCGGAAGGTTTAATACTTGAAGAATGGACATTGACAGATGCGCGGCCCGTGTGGGAAGATGCGATTCACACAACACCAACAAATCACAATTACTCCAACAACCTTCAAGGTATTACACTGACAGACACGTCACTAATAGCGCATACATTATTACTTATCCCTCATAACAATTCTTACTATTGGTCAAACATTACCAATCACGTGTTTTCACCGAACGAGATAACACGCATGGAAATTGACTTTCTATACATGCTAAGATTCAATCTTGTAGTCAACGAAGACGACATAATAGAGTGTTGGAAGAGGTGCATGGATAGTTGTCAATTAGTACCCGGGGATTTGAGTTTACGGGATTATAACAAGTTAGGCACCACCACGCTTGACTTTGAACATCATTTCGGCGGATTCATTATCGGAGGGGAATTAGGAAATTGTGGTGACGGAATCGTGCCACAACAATATTAGCTATTTCTCTTGTATCGTCATCCTCGAGGACTTTAAATATTTATAATCAACATACACAAACATTTTCTTCGGTACAAATAGCACGAACTTTGACAAGAGCAAGAATAATTTAAAAGGTGTAAATCTAATTTTCTGTCAAATTATAAATCCTCTTTATTTTTTAAAAAAAAAAAAAGAAGAGAGCATTTACAGTATGTAGAGCAAAAAAAAAAAAAAAAGAAAAGATTGGCGAACACACACTTTCCTTATGATAGTAGCAATGTTGTGATCAACAACTAATTTTTCTTATCTGTGTCATTGCCTCGCTCATTGGCAGAATTATTGTTGTTCGATCCACCACCACCTCCTCCTTTACCCCAAATCTCAATGATCTTCCTGACATTATCTCGAACCATGTGCACAGCATCTAGACGTTGTGCACTCTCGTAGAACCTTTTGAAAAATTCAACTTGCGTTCCATCACTCCATGATTCAATATATTTTTTTCCTAATTGAAATCCTGGTGTAAAAGCGCGCTTTATGATACGCTTCGCTGTTTGGAAACGAATAGTTAATAATGAATAGAGCTTAATAATAGCGTCATTCATACTCAAAATAATAATAATAATAATATAATAATAATAATAATAATAGATCTTGTACTTTCTGCTTTGGTTTTTTCAAGTTGCTCGCCCAAGTCGATCTCACGTTCTTCACTAAATCATCAGAGCAAATGGTGAGCGCGCACGACGCATAACGAAATTAGTGGTTCGCTACCTACGGTTTTGCCTGCGACCACGGTGATCGATTCACTAAATTTTCTTTTCTCATATCTGTTGAGAGACAGATGAAATTTTTGTTCGCAAACCGATGCGAGAAGTGTGCGGATTATTTCACGTACCTTCAGTATGTTTCTGACATTCCTCCAGTCCGTTGAGATAATAAATATAATATCCGTCCAAAAAGTTTCTTGGACCTTTGAATTTCTCCACCACTTCTTGTTCAATATCTTTTCCATAGAGTACTTGCGCAACATTAAGTTGGTGCTTGCGCTGTAATGTTCGTTCTTCGCCTTCGATAGCTTTTTTCTTTATTAATTCATTCCTCGCGTCAATTCTCCTGAGACAGAGCATTCTACATGTTGGGTTCGATCCTTGTATCCTACTTTTATCTTGTTGTTTACACCATTGAAAGCATACCTCATCCCACTTTGGACATTCCTCAACTTTATCGTTATTTTCAATTGGAGAGGGTATTGAAGTGAGATTTGTTATTGGATTAATATAGATATTATTACGGGTATTTGTACGAAAAACAAATGATGGTGGAATCGATTGAGGTGGAACTGTGGTTCCTGTTGAACCATTATCGGAATCGGGGGTATGTTGTGCTTCGGTATCAACTGGTGATTTCTCCTCGGACGAAGACATATGTAAGCGAATCAGAATCAGAATCGGAACCACCGTATATGGATAATTATTTTCGAAAACGCCAAGATTTTTTGGTCCCTATTTTTTGAATAATACAGATACAATATAAATTCTAGGAGTGCAATTATAAAGAGAAAAATCCTTCGAAAGTAAATTACCCATATCACGATAATACTCCTTACGTATGAACCAATCAAAAATCGCATCAAATTCCGCGTCAAAACTGCCTAGACAAAAAATATTTAATTCGACTTCTTTTTTAAATCGTATTTAAGCATCGCATCCACCATATTCACACATTCTGCATATTCTCTCGTTATCTTCCTCTTTTACTTTTGCTATCTGCGTCATGACGGAGGAACGTTCTTTACAGGTCAAAAGTGGAAACACCACCATCAATCTGACTTTTAGCAATGAAATTCTTTCAATTGGTAATAATAAAATCTAGAATTGGTCTCGTAACAAATTTTTATTAAACATGAACCAAAATCTCATAAAAAATGTTCTTTACTTCCTCGTTTATTATCAATAATAGCTGGGGCCAGGCGCACCGACATACCGTCTAGAAACATTCTCGATGTTGCTCTAAAACCTTCACCCGCCGGTACTACACATGTCGATATCCAGGCTCTCGTTCCTTTCAAGGTTAACAAGTTGAAGTTGAATAATTTTAATTATGAGGTTGTTCAATCGCAATCGGCTGATTCGTGGGTCGAGTTTGTTAAGAACGTCGCGTATCAAAGTAATAACCCGAAACTCTATATTTTCATCGATCATTTATCATATATACGTATTCAAAAATATTCTTTGCTTTTTCGATTTCTATAGAAGTGAAACCGAACAAGCATTTAAAAATATTTATCAACCCTAATAGTGGTACTGGCAAGGCTGTTAAGATTTTTGAAAAGGAGGTCAAGCCAATTTTCGACGCCGCCGGCTGTAAATGCGATATAGTTGGTACATAACTTGGTACGAGATGAGCCCATGGTTATGTAATCTATTATTAAAAGACGTTCCACTCTTTTTATCCCAATTAGTGACCAATGGTAGGGATGACGCGAAGCGAAAGATCATCGAAGCCTCCGACTTGCAAAATTATGATGCAATTGTTGTAGTAAGTGGTGACGGAATCGTCCATGAGGTTGTCAATGGACTTTTATCACGCAAAGATGAGTCGTTCATCAAAATTCCCATTGGGGTGATTCCAGCAGGTAGATGCTGAATTCTTGTTGGGAATTTCTCCCTTTTTTTTTGTTTACTAATTTGATTATTTCTCAGGAAGCGGGAATGCCTTGAATGTCTGTCTGCATGGCGAAACCATAAACTCTTCTATGCAACACTCGGCACTTACTATAATCAAGGGTGAGTAGATTTCATAATTTTACATTTATCGGAATGGGATCATTTTGAATTTAATCTGGTAAAAAATCCTAGGTGTACCCATGGACGTTGATATTTGTTCTATAACTCAAGAGGATGGTGAATATTTCTCTTTTCTGTCACAAACTTACGGTGCCACTGCAGATTGTGACTTAAGAACAGAAAACCTGAGGTAACAATGACTGGATGATATTAAATATAGTTTGTGGTTTATTCACAAAACCGTATTACATCGACAGATGGATAGGTGACTCTCGTTTCACGTTGGGCGTGCTAATGGCTATCTTAGAAGGCCGTCGGTATGAATGGGAGATGGCGATAAAGTATTCCGAAAAAAACAAAGATATAATCAAGCAGAATTATAAGAAAGCATATGCGGAACAAAAACCAAAAGATGTATCCGATAGTGAAGGGATTGTTAAAATTGAAAGAAAGTATGGATCGGTGAATGACCCAATTCCAAAGGACTGGGAAATTTTATCCGATGATATATTCGCCTTCTATAGTGGCAAGCTCCCGTGGGTTGGTAAGGGGGCCATACCTTTCCCTTGTGCGTTACCTAATGATGGATTAATGGATGTAATTATCGTAAATCGAGATAAGATATCAAGATTAAGAGCTATATCTATGATGCAGAAGATAGCAAAGGGCACTCATATCGATCTTGAAGAAGTAAGTTTTAATTCAGGATATTTCTTAATTAAGAAATATTATTGCAATCACGATAATTCATTCCCTTCTACTTTCTCTCTTGTAGGTCGATTATTACAAAGTTGAGGCTTTCCGTTTAACACCGAAAAGTCGCGATGTGGGATATATCAGCATCGATGGTGAAAAAGTACCTTTTAAACCCTTTCAAGTGGAAGTTCATCCAAGATTGTTAAGCGTACTTAGCATCGACGGAAGGTATCACTACGTCGATGTCTAGTTTTTCATTGTTAACTTAAGTAGAATTTAAACATTCAAGCTATAAACAATACATTATTTTATTTTTTTATTTTTACTTTTTTTTCTTATAATTTATTCCTGATCATGCAACATCATCCCATAGTCAAAGCTATTCGCGCTACCTATTTCATTGGCCCATATCCCCGGGGTTAGGTGACGTCATCAATAAAATTCTTGTTGTCATCTAACCCAAGTATAGATACTATTACTATTAGGGAAATATTTATTATTAAAGTTCCTTTTCTTTTCTTTTTGTTTTCTTAATAGATACTTATTCAAATGCACTAGGATCGCAATTATTATTAATAAAGTGTCTTTTATTTAAGTTTCCTAATTATATTGAATGCCCTAAATAAAATATTCGTGTCACTATGCATGTGCGTATAAATCTCATTAAGGCAGATGCCTTATAGATATGGGCAATTATTCTTGAAGGCGACCAAAATCTAATTATGATTTTTTTCGGCCCCCCTCCAGTTTTGAATAATACGTATATAATGCAAATTTTAGGATCACAATTATGGGTCCGAAAATCCCTGTCCGCCTTCGAAAATAATTACCCATATTAGTAATACTGTATAAGAATAATATATTCATATATATTTTTAAAAAACTTGCAATTTAATTCTATTTAATAAAAAAAAATTCATTAAAATTTCTTCATTTTTATCGATTCTCTACTTAGAATGAAACCATAGAAAGAAAAATATCCGAAACCATCCAGTTTAATAAATTTTTTATTTAAATATAACAAATTATAGTTAAATCCAACATTTGAAAAATTTAATTTAAATGAAATTATTTTCATATTAAATTAATGTTATCATTCGAAAAACTTTTTATTTATTTATATTTCAAATTCAATCGTCAATAAACGCATCATGATTGGAATAATAAAAATATTTTATTTTATATTAATAGTTTACATATCAATAATAATAATAATAAATAATAATAATAAATAATAAATATTAATTTCAATATAAATATTATAAATATTGATACAAAAATATATTTATTTTCTATATTTTTAATTATAAATAAAAAAATTTTTATTCTTGAAAATTAAGTACTGTATATTTATTAAAATTTTATAATTTAATATTTTTAAATAAATATAATAAAAAAATAATATAGTATTAAAAAAAACTCTTTTTACTAATATTTTAATAATATACAAAAAATATATATTTACAAGAAGTTTTTTTATTTCTTAATTAATAAAATCCTTATACTTTTCTTAAACCAATTTAAAGTTTGTCTTCAAAAATCACTATTACTCTTTTCTACTTGTTTATAAATTTCTTTAAATAAAAACCTGGATCTCTGATAGTTTAAATATATTTAAGAATATACTTCTTCTACTAAAAATAAGAAAGATTTAAAAAGTAAAGAAATCAACTTATAAAATATTATCTTTTAGAGTTGAATAACATAAAAATAGAGATTTTGTAGATATTAAAAGTTTACTATTTATCTACATTTGTTTATTTTAAAGTGTTTATTGTTTTTCATAATTTTTTTAAAAAGTTTGTTTACTTCAATTTAACTTTAAATTTCTGGTAACATAATATTATTTAAAATCCAATTGATTGATTTAAAACATATTAATAATAAGATATAAACAAGTTTTTATTAACTATATTTATTTTATTTTTTTTTTTATCACAAATGAGCATTAAATGCAGGTTTTTATTAGAAATTCAATTCATAAACAATACATTAATAGTCTTTACAAAATCGTAAGTTAACTATAGCCTATTGCGATTTTCTTGTTATGATACCCTTGCAGTCTGTGACTGGGAATGCCAAAGCAAGGTCGAATGGCTAATGCCTATTCAAAAATGATGAAATTACGGTGGGTGTAAAAATTGATAAATTTGTAGAGTTGTTATTGATTTCCATTATATCCAAGATACTGTTAAATATATTGTAACTATGGTCATGATTGTTGTTATTTTCTTTTTTGGAGAGACTATTTTTGTTTGCTTTACTCTTGTTCCATTTGATACCAGTCTGTGAAAATGTGATTGCTGTGGCTGAGCGTTGTTTCCAAATTTTGTATATAACTTTGAGAGATTTGTTGGCTATTTTGATTTTTAATTTGTTGCTAGTAATCTTGTTCAGATGCTCATTAGGTATGGTTAGGGCTGTTAAAAGTAAATCACTTCCTTCTGTATCTAATGGAAAATATTTTTCTGACGTGGTGGTTTTGCCATGTTTTTTCTTTTGGAACTAGTTGATTAGCTTATTTAGTTTTGGGATAGCTTTGTGGATCATTTTCTTGCTTTTGGAGCATTCAACTATGTGTATCATGTCTTCAACTCTATGACCACATCTTGGACATTTTTGATCAGGATATGTTGAGGGATACCTCTTATGAAGTTTGTACCTTGTTGGGAGGGAGTTAAATAGTAATTTAGTTCTAAAGACAACCAAGGTTCTGAATTTGACTCTATCCTCTGGCCATAGTTCCTTGTTTGCTTTTTTTAGAAATATGTAGTCTTCGATAGATGCAGGCTTGTAAATGCAATTCTGACTTGCATTAATCAGAAATAGGTTTTTGTTATGATTAATAAATTTTAACCAATCGATAATGCTGGGTCCAATAGAATAATTAATTAAAGGAGAACTATTGAAGTTTTTACGATGGATTCTTGGTGGTGCTTGGGGAACCAGAGTAGAGGTTATTTGTTCGCTACTCTCTATTTTGTTGAGTTGGATATTTAGGGATTTGGTTTTTTATAATATTTTTAGCTCGTCTATGTAAGCGCTGTAAGGAATTCTAACTTTTTTATTTAAGTAAGTGGGTAAGTTCAGATCTGGCACATTTGTTAATTGACATTTGATGGTGGAGTGGTAATTGATCTTGTTTAGCTTTACTATTAATAAGGTCCAGAATTCGTTATATTATTGAGATTTGTTCTCGTACAGGACATTTGAGTCCTTGTCCATTGTCAGGTATCCATTTGTGATCTGAATAATATGGATGTGCTGTGGTGTTGTTGCTTGGTCGATGGGTATAGAGGAATTTATTTGTATATAGGGCTTGTGAGTTGGGACTGGTGAGATTTGCTCCATGATTTCGTTGATACTATTTAGAAGTATGAGGCCATTTTTTGTTTTTTTATGCCATAAGGATTTGGCAACAGTTATTGTAGTTAAAATCAGGCAAGGTTGTGTATTGTATAAGCAGGTGATTAACTTGTTATATAGCCCAGAGAGAACAAGATGTTTGCCTGTGAGGGTTTCACCTCTCCTAGCGTTTCTTCTTGTCTTTAAGATTTTGAGTCGTGATCCTTCTAAGAATACCCATAGGATTGGTGATAGATTGGGAAGGGGTAGGGTATCACTCTTTACATTTGAAGGAAGTGATGTGTTCATTTTGAACCATCTAGGTATTGGTCCTCGGTAAACCTTTCCTATCTTAGTTTGGAATTCATCCCATGTGTTGTGTTCATTGCTGTTGTATTTGAGAAGCTGCCTTATGTTTCTAATGCCTTGTCTTGATAAGTTTAGTGCCGTTATTTTGTCTAATATAAAGTGTAGACCAATTGACATATCACTTTCTTTCATATCAAAAGGACATGGGTGAGGGCAAACCTTTATGTGATGTTTCAGGGCTATCATGGATGCTTCTACCAGCCATGATTGTTTGAAATAATGAGGTTGGCATAGGGGGCATGCCCATATGGCTGTGCTAGCTTGAATTGCTGTAACTTCTTGT